AATGCCCTTTCCTGTCCGCCATCTTTCTCCCTTCATAGCCAATAGCATCACTAGAAACTCCATACATGGGTTTTTGAAAGAAATATTGGATTTTAGGTTAAAGCTATCGTATTCGTCTTATCATAATATTTTGCGAATATTTCGCCATTCTTCAACATCAAAGGAAAGTTTAATATATAATCTCAAAAGTATGATGGCAAACTTAAAAATAATTGTAAGCTTTTCTTATCTTTGGATAATGGAAAGTTCCTTTTTGTGGCTGTGTTTCCTTCTGAAATTTACAGCTACAACCGCGGAGCTATACCTTAATTAACTCTTCCGTCTACGTCTCGCGAGCTGCAAACGTGAGTAGACGTTGTGAAAGATGAGGTAACCATCCCGTGTGGAGCCTTGGCTCACGGCTAAAGAGAGGAAGCTTCAGGGAGGCATTCCGACTTTTTTTGGTTTAAAAAATACCTGAAGTCTAATTGCAACATCTGTACAAAAGGGTTGCGGTTGCAGGCCAGCGTCGGTCTTGAAACAAGGGGCTCGCTTTATAAATGTGTAAAAAAGTGAAACTTACTCGTCTAGAGAGGTTGTGCACACGCGACGTGGAAACGAACCCAAATAAAAATATTAACAACGCCTTGGATGAGGTATTCGCCTTCTGATAACGGCCCAGGAAAATGTTTCAAGGATCACGATCTCCAGGCATGCACCTGGAATATCCGGTACCTTAATGAGGAAGGTGACGCTACCCAGCTGAATGATGTCTTGGATAAAATAAAGGCTGACAAGGCTGATGGGACAAGGACGGAAGCGATTAGGGCCTTGTTTACCACAGCAGCCATATAAAAGAGCGCCAATTCGGTGTCGGATTTGTAGCAGGAGAGAGACTTTGTCGCCGAGTTCTGGCATTCAATTCGGTGGATGAACATCTCGCCACAATCAAAGCAAAATTTTTCAACACATCGTAAATTAGCGTCCACGTCCCGGCGTAAGAGATGGACGATTTGTAAAAGATGCCTTTTAAAAGCTCCTGGAGTATACTTATGAGCGCTGCGCACGATACGATGTGAAAATCGTGCTTGGCGACTATAATGCCAGGGTGGACAATAAAAGTATTTTTGGTACAACTGTCGGAAAATTCTGCCTCTACAACGAAACATCCCCTAACTGGTTGAGGCTGATCGACTTTGCCGGGGCACGAAATATGGTTGTCTGTAGTACTAAATTCCAGCACAAGAAAATTCACCAAGCTGCTTGGCTGTCTCCTTATCAAATCATATTGTGATAGACGAAAAACATGTTTTCCTTCGAGTGTTGTTGACGTGCACACACTCCGAGGACCCAACATCGACTAGCACCACTATCTTGTTGCAAGGAAGATACGCACCCGCCTATGTGCATCAAAGAACCCGTCCACGAACTCGAGAAGAGTTCGACGTTGAAAAGCTGCAATCACAACAGACTGCCGAGCGGTTTTTACTCGCCTTGCACTCCTGCTCTCTGAGAGCTCTTATCAACACTCAAAGTGAACGAAACAATGGGTGAAATACCAGAAAGCATACTATTCCGTAGTGATCTTCAGTTGCCTTGTTGGTTCATTGTATTTTTAAATATTCCGTTGCTTCTCTTGATGATGAAAATTATATTCTTGGTCATCTCTGTGTTTGTGTCAATTTGAAGTTAAGTAGTCTATTCGTTTCCATATTCCACCCCCCAGCTCGGGGTGTTTGTGTGCTACTCATGATAATATTATTTAGAAAATCTATGAAAATAACGAAAACAGCAACTTTTGCATATTAGGTGAGTTAATCTTAATAAAATCAAACGTTTTAAATTTCGTGACGCCAACTTTTCGTCTCTAAAGTTAATGCAGCTATTCTGTAAATCGATCGTAAATCAGCTTTTCCTCTAAAAATCTGACAAAGTGCTATGAATCCTTTTTATCCAAACTGAATGAACAGTTTTCTAGTAGTCTTTATTTTGTTCGTTGAAGTGCTTAAAAAAATTGAAAAAAACTTAGAAACATAATGCTCTAGATTATGCTATCTCCATCTCACAAAATTTTGTTTCATGACTTTTTTTTTGCTTTAGCTTACTCTAATCTCTGTTTCATGAGTCTGCTCTAGAAAATAACGCTCTAAGTTGCATTATTTTCTGCTCTGACTTTCTTGAGAGAGTAACTTAGAGCAGGCAAACAACAGCAGAAAATATCTTGAGCGTAGGTAAAGCTCCTACATGACTTAAAATTAGGAAAAATTCATTTAACTCATTTTGAGACCGGGAGCTCCGTGCACAGTAGTTTTTGCACTTTGACTGTGTTTCTAACTCTATTACCTATGGAAATAACTCCATCTGTAATTGGCATCCTGTAAGTCTTTGAGGAAGTGACGCTTCATATAGAAAAATACTACAATGAAAACACAAAGCTTTGTTCTTCAATAACGAGGAACATTTCAGCTGTCAGAAGATAATTTGGCTTGAAAAGTACTGCAAGCTTCTTAAAGAAAATCACAAAGAAACCCGCCCGAACCCTGGCAAGTAGGTGGATGTAAAAAAAATATTAAAAGCGAACATGGTTACAGCTTAATATCTTGTCCAATTCAAAGTAAATGGAAAAGCTGGGAAAGCTTATGTGTAAGAAAAAAACGTTTACAACTAAAAATCTGGAATTGACAGAAGTCATGATAAAGAGTGCCCCAGCATGTCCGTTATTTAAGGTCATACAACGAAAAACAGCTGTAGCGAAATATTAATTAAACCGGAATTACAGGTGAACCAGGTAAAGTCAACGCTTTTAGTGAAAGGTTTAACTATATTATATAAAAGATTGTTTCTATATAATTAAATTGCTATTAGCATTTGGATCTGAAATAAAAAGTAATTCGTAACTAAAAATTGAATCTGAACCAGTTAACGATTTCATATATCTGAAAAGCTCTGAAGGTGAACGATCACCAAGTTAAGTATTTGAAAATAATTGTACCAATCTCTTTTCTTCACTATCATTTTAAATGTTGTTTATTTCAAATTGTCCTTCAATAAGCAGAAACCATGCTTCAGGACATTCATTCCAAAAAGGAGGTAATTTAATTGATTTAGAATTCAGTCTAAAATTATCTTCAAGATGTGTTAAATTATGTGTATGAATGTCTTGAGTTAAATTTTCTGTTGTATTTAATTCTGTATTAGAGTTCGCGATTTCATTTTGTGTTTCTATTGGTGTAAAATTACGTGTGCGTGTGGGTGATCGATGCATGTTTGGAGAAGGAGTTTAAAATAACATGAAAAAATTTAATATAGATTTAAATTAAGTTATATAAAAAGATTAATTACAATTTGTTATAAATAATAAAAACCTGATACTGGTTTGCTAAATAATATTGTTGATTGTTGATATTTTTGATATTGCATCGAAATGAAATTGTTAAACTTCAACAGAAATCGGTGAAGTAAAATTGATAGGACCTTAGATTGAGTAATTTGTTAAATACTTTTCTTTTTCTCGTATATATGTATATTTTTCAAATAAATAACTTGCTGTGATTTTTATTGATGTATAAATTATAGATATTGATGTTGATGGAAGCGTTAGTTCATACTTTGAATCTTCATAAATAACCAATTCAATTTCAATGAATGAATCACAATAGGATCGAAGATTTCTTTTATAATTTTTTTTATTTCTTGTGGCAAAAAGAACAACGGAAAATTTAGTAAATTGTTTGATTTTTCATTTGTAGTGAAACTTGCATAATTAAAATACAGTTGTAAAAATTTTTGATAATACACAAGCACATACATTTTTTTTAATTTTATTTCAAAAAGTTTTAGTTCACAGGATCGCCAATTATATAGTTTGTTTCTCTATATTTAAATAAAAACTTCAATATTTAATTTTTTAAACAAAATTTAACAAGAGCTTTCTATTTGAAAATGAAAATTATAATGAATAAGAAAAAGAAGCTATTTGAAATAAAAAAAATCACTGACATTGTGTTTATTTAAAAATTGAAAATTGTAAGTTAAAAATGTTAAAGCAGATTCCTACATATATTACTTTAGCTTAATGTTTTCAGAAAATAATGAAAGTGAGGCAAATGCCAAAATTACTGTGGAAGATATTTTAAATAATAGCTTAACATCCGCAAGCCCTGTGTCTTTTGTTGCTAAGATATTGGGGAAAAAAACAAAAGACAAAAGAAGAAAGAAATAGATAGAAGGAGAAAGAGTAGAATAAAGGATAGAAAAACAAAAAGCTTACGAAGAAAGAACAAAAGAAAGAAAGCGAAAAAATTATATTTTAAAAGCAATGTTGAAATATATGGGAAAAACTAAAAACTAAATGCAACTATTACCACACATTCTTATTGAACTAGCGTCATTTAGTTATTTACATAATATATTATGCAAAGATCCATAATGCACCATTTGAGTCGAGTCGACGTTATTCATTTGAGGTGCTGTATCAATTAACTCCACAATGGGATAAATGGAGAACATTTGAGAATTACGGTAACCGTTTAGAAGATCAAACCGCGGTTCTATTGGGTTGGGTGTCAATTGGTCGACGAAAGGATTGCAAACTGCAAGGAGTGTATTGCAGCGATGATTAAGTGTTGCTCTATAATACAGTAACGATTTTCCTTAATGATGATTGTTTCCCAAATCCTTCGAGTGCGATATCGGGATTGCTAAATAAATTCGACAAATCTTTTGTACAAATTTTTAACTGCAAAGAATTTGTTCAGATGTTCACGACTTATACTAAAACTTTAACACTATAGTAATTTCACTTATCAATAGTGCTACCCCGCACAAATTCACTTTGTTCCTAATATAGTCGTCTTTTAGAATGTGATTTTCTTATCGTCAACTAACTTTCATCTGTCATTCGTATTTGGCATTTTCGCAACGATGACATCCACCTGTGTCTGATCCTGTCGATCAGACACATTCGCTGCTCTAAAGTAGTAGTTTAGCAATTTGGTTATCTTATTTGTTTGTAGACGGTGAATACACTACACACTACAAACAAAGGGCCCCACACCTCATGCTGGAAGATGTTGGACGAGAAGGCTGAGAAAGCTAAATCTATTCATAGACGACGAGTCGTTCAACACTAGGTCGAAGAGCAGCTTCAGACTCAATTTTAGATTCGGCAGTATACTTGCCAAGCTTTTGTAGACCAGGAGGGCAAGAAGAAGAAGCGCAACCAGATCCACCAGAAGCTGAAGCAATGGAAGAAGGGGCTGTACCCAAATGCACATCATCCCAAGTTAAGAGTCGAACATCGAACATAGTAGCAGACGAAATAATCCCTTCGACTAAAGAACTTCAGGAACTGGCTGAAGGCCTGAACCTCATGAGAACGGGCAGTAATAGTGAGGACCAGATGCTCTCCGACTTCGATGAGCACACGGGCAAAAGGGAATGACGCCGAACATAAAGATTGCTCAGATCAATCTACAACATGCGGTTGCTGTCTCGGCGGTAATAACGCATAAAATGGCCACGGATAATCTGGGCGTTGTACTGGCACAGGAGCCATGGACCTGCAAAAGTAAGATAAGAAGATTAAACGGCAAATCCACTAAGGTTATATCATAAACTACATTTGTCTTTCAGAATTTATAAGTATAGTTTTGGTAGCGATGCAAATTAGAACGAAAGAAGAAGAAGGAAGTGGAGATAACATTGTAGTTGCATACGGAAACTTCCCTGGAGACAGCAACATTATACCAATTCCAAAGTCGGAACTGCTAATAGATTACTGTAAGAAAGAAAGAACTCCGCTAGTAATAGGCTGCGATACAAACGCGCAAAAACAACATGGGAAAGTACCGACAACAAAGTTAGAGGTGAGTCCCTATTAGAATTTATGCTACCAATGTCATGGAGAAGAGCCTTAGTAAGCAGTGTACCGTTTTTGTTTATTTGTTCGACTAATGAGATTTCGTCTTTATAATGTTGTCGTTGCGTTTGAGCAATCAGTTTGAACTTGGCTTCACTGAGCTCTACTTGGGATAGTACATAGGTGTTGGATATAGTTAGCCCTTTGCAATGGTTAATGAATCGATATATGTATGCAACGACCCTTAGTGAGCGTGAAGAACAAGATAATCTTTCGAGTATGTTTAACTCGATGCTTCTCAACTCTGAGGTGTTACATGTTTGCGGCCTAAAGTTTGGTGGCCGTTGAGTATTCGGCTTAGATAATTCTAATAGACACTTTCACCAGAGAGTGCTTGTAGCCAAGACTGGAGGCTTGTAACTGTGGCATCCTAAATCTGCCAGAGTGTCGTGTTTTTAGATAGTGGGGGAACCAGAGTTTGGAAGCATCTTCGAAGTTGGGCACCTACACCCCACCGAAAAGTATCCTTTGTGCATTTAATGTTTTCGAACGTTTTTGTCGTGCCGAAAGTGTCACCATCCTCGTTACGTCCTCATCCATCCCTCCAGCATCCCGCACCCAGAGCCCAGTCATACAGGCGGGCTTAAGTTAACACCGCCAGCACGGGAGTAGGGTGGGTGAGTTCGTAACCAGTTTGCTTGGACCACACCGCGGGTGCACCACAAAACATATTTATAATTGTGCAATTTTCGTTGATCGGTAGGAGATTTTGAACAAGTATCGCCTCATATGGAAAAATAATACAGTGGACACTCAGAGATATATTCCTCAATATCAAGCAGTCAGGAGGCAATTTGCCTTGAAAGACACTGCAAGCTTCTTAAAGAAAATTATTAAGAAACATACCCGAAACTTGACAGGCAACTGAATGTAGAAAAATGGTGAGGACATGGATATCTTCGTGAGTTGAATTTTGAGTTTTATATTTATACCTCTTTATACCTCTTTATACCCTTTCAATTTAAATAATTTTAATAAACAACCTCTGGTTGTATTCTTGTAACTATTCAATGGTAAACAAATATAAAAAAACGAACAAGGTTACAGCTGTACATCTTGCTAAGCTGAAAGTAAATGGAAAGGCTAAGACAGGGGGTTTAAAAAAATTATTCACAACTAAAAGTCTGTACTTCACAAAAGCCATTATAAAGAGCGCCTCAGTATGTTTTTAAAGCTTACTAAGAAATAACAAAAGAAACAAAGCGAGAAATGATATTTTGGAAGGAATTATATTTGATAGAAAAATAAAAACTAAACTATTACTACACCTTCCATATTAAACCAGATTCATTCAACTGTACACATAATATATCACGCAAAGCTCCATCACGCACCGTTCTAATCAAATCGACGTCATCACCGTTATCTATTTGATGTGCTGTAGCAATTAACTTCACAATGGTAGCAGTGGAGAGCATCTGGGAATTACGGCAACAGTTTAGAAGATCAAACAGCGGTTCTATTGGGTTAGGTGTCAATTGGTCACTGTCTAAGCGGGTGGGGGAGAATGTGAAATGTATTCAAGTTGAGCACTAGGCTCATTACAAAAAGTTGTGGACTTTACCCAATGCCATAGGAGGCACCTGACGCTGCGAAGACGCCAATCGCTTGCTCAAGGAGCATGGATGGGACGACGCAAACAGATCAGATAGCAAGATATCTGACCTGGACCATTAGAAGGCCCTGGTCCATTAGAAGGTTCTGGACCATAGAAGGTCGACTTTAGCCAATGCCATAGGAGGCACCTGACGCTGCACAGACGCCAATCGCTGACTCAAGGAGCATGGATGGGAAGACGCAAACAGATCAGATAGCAAGATATCTGACCTGGACCATTAGAAGGTGCTGGACAAGTCACCGAAAGGATTATAAGCTGGAAGCAATGTATTACAGCTTAAGGGCCAAAATTCAAAAGTTGGCGACAGATGGATCGATATAAATTAGGTGAACCATTCGTACAAGTTACCATGTATGTAGCAGGTTTATTCTCTGCAAACAGACTAGGAAATAAGAACGTTCTTGCTGTTATGGACTTCTTTGGCAAATGGTTGGGAATCTTTCCAATCCAGGAACCATCGGATGCGTTTCTCACATACGCAGCAGCTGTAGAACTGTACTCTGGCCTACTCTATTGGGTGTATGGTAAGCTCTGCATTCCTAATCCGATGCTATGCTTGAACAATACAATCGAACTTTAGAAGAGAACGTGAGCAAGGTCATGGATTACAGTACATGAAACATACATACTTACAAGAATACTACTTGGTAGTGAGATCCGGTTGCAAAATGATTAGATGTTCGGAGGTAATAGTGATGCGAAAGAATTCGGAATTCATTTACTAACCCATTGATCAAGCTCGAAGGGTTACTAGTAACACAACTCATATTTATCAAACAAATAAAATAATTTTTTTTCACTCTTTTCACCTGCCCAATTTCTCGTTGAACACCAGTTGTAAGGATGCTCTCTCCTTGATAATATTCTTTATCGGATATAAACAGACAAACTTGTTAAATGAATCCGCAATCACAAGTATATAATTGTATGCATTGTTCGGAGCATCTGAAGGCCCGACTTAATCGAAGTGATATGTGCGTAATGGCATGTATTCTTTATTTATTGGGTTCAGTAATCCTTTCTTCTTTCCATTCCTTTAATTCATTGCTTCATTTACTATATTCTTAATTCATCTATTAACAATTTTACAGACTTACTTATTAAAATAAATTATAAAGAAAGTTTTATCTCACAAATCTTGCGTTTTCTTTGATGAGAAATGCCGTTTCCAGTGATCCATCTTTATAATTTTGCCCTCTATAGCCATTAGCACGACTATCTTTCCTTAATATTTTGCGAGTATTTTCGCCCTTCCTCAACATTCCTGATAAGATCTGGCAATTAAAGCAAAATTTAGAATAAAACGCCGGAAGTGTGATGGCAAACTTAAGACCGTTTTAAGATCTTCTTATCTTTGGGTAATGGGAAGTTCTTCACTGTTGCTGTGTTGCTTTATAAAATTTACTGTTACAGTCGCGAAGCTATACTCAATTTCTACTCTTGCGTCCACCTCTCGCACCCTGAAAACGGGAGCAACCGTTATGCAAGATGTGGTAAGCAACCCGTGTGTAGCCTTCGGTCACGGCTAAAAAAAAGG